TGAATTAGATCCAGGAAGGCACACGTTGATTCTCGATAGAATTATTTATCAATATTATATATCTTTCAGTTTATTCTCATTTAAGATTCGACCCAAAGCTTGATTTGCCAGATTGCCGAATTGATTAATTTAACTTATTTATTATTTCGTTATTAATTAACTCCTTAATTTAACATAATATAAAGCTTCATGTCGTTATTTTATAACGTGATATTTTTATTACATTCTGGACGTCTTTTTACGAGTTTCACTTAATGACTTTCACAATACAAAATATTCAATTAATTATATATTAAAATCGATGTTAGATATATGAGACATATTAAAAAAAACATGTATATATAATTATTAATGACCTAGCAATTAAATTGTCGTGTTTTCAATATTAATGAGACAACAATAAGCGAGTCACGTCCCCGGGATGGGGCATGGGGGAAGTGGGGCGAATGCAGGAATGTAGCGAAGAAGCGGCGCAGATCGTGATTAAAACAATTCCTGCAATAAGTCAACAATCACTGCACCGGTTTACAAAAAGCTTCGCGTCCACAGTGTGTGGAACGCCTTTCTGTATACTGCTCATTCTACGTACGTCACACGTAAACGCCTTTTTGTAGATGGGAAGGGCTAACGACACCACTGCACTATGCCTTGCATTTTTCTTCTCTTATCGATGTTGGCATCGCCACTAAGCCGAGAAATGCCTTACGCGAAGTGTCTCATGTCATAAATGAATGACTGTGCAGAATCTGTGCACTGTTAGCGTATCCCTGGTTCCTCTCGCATCCCGCTCTGGAACCAGTCGGTGGACTGCCAAGGCGACGGCGGCGAGGGGAGGGGGAAGGCACCTGCGTCGCGAGGCCGTCGACCCCACGCCGCGCCTCGCGCTCGAACCCTACGTTCTTAGCTACCAAATCGTACGCCACCCCCCATTTTCGTGTCTTATAGTCTAGTAGTTATATAGTGCAATGTAGCGGTTTTTTATGAAAGGCGCGTAGCTCACGGTTCTGGCGCAACGCAATGCGACGGACACGCGAAGAGACCGTTTTTTGGACATAATTTAATAAACCGGAGGGAGCGTGACTCGACTAACAATCGACACCTCTCTGTGAGAACTGTGCGATTGCGCCTATTGTACCACTTTTAGTCGGTCCGTTTTCTTAAACAAAGCAGGATATTTTTTTATAATAAAGAGGTTTCGTATTTTGTCATTTGAACCATTCAAAGAGTTAAAGAGTAGTCTCATCAGTTAAGGAGTGTCAAGTAAAATGACCTAACAGGAGGAAGAAATATTTATATCCTGCACATCGCGACGTTAATTCCTTAAACTTACGAGAGCTTTGGTCAAAGTGCCCCAAATACTGTCAAAGTCTCAACTATGAACTATTAATACATATTTGATATCCGAATGACTCTCCGAAGACAACACGGTGTCATAATGGGAAATGTTTAGGTATCTCGGCGTATAATCGAATTTATTAACATCCAGTGAACGAATCAAATCGTATCCACAAAAACTGGCTTCGTCGAGGCGAGGGGAAGGGCCGGGGGGGAAAGGGGAGGGGATCGTCAATTCAATTAGCGCACACAATGAGGAGCTATTTAGTTGCGATGACTTTCATATTACGTAATAATAACTTTTGTGTTTGATGCATGTACTTTTCACCGGTTAATTGAGCCTGTGAGTTTTTTCCGCTCCTACGATTTTTATTCAAGTTTCTAAACTAAATTTAAGTAAGAAGGAAATGTTTCTGGAAGCTTATGAACTGAACCTCGAACGCTGTAACCAATAGATCCAGGTAAACAGTGAAACCCTATTAAATTAATAAATGCATTGTTCAATACATAAAAAATATGAATTCCAAAAGCGCGTGTGAGTGACGTAACGTGATTACCGATACGTGAAATGGACTGCATAAAAAGCCTAGAGGCGGGAGGTGCGCGGGCGCAATTAGCCGGCGGCCGCACACAGGTGCGCGCGATCTCTCACGAATATTCATAACAGCGTTTTTTGTTTGTAATATATTCTTGAGTTTTAGCACCTTTTTTGTGATCGTCGGCCGTTTGTTCATTATTTGCATAAATTCCAGGTAGCTCGTGTTTTATCCGCTTAATTAAGTTATTAGAACGATCTTTGTCCGACGACTTCACAGAATAGGACAACCGTTTCGTAAATTTTCTAGTTTCTATACTCCGCACTCTGGTGAACATGCCGTGGAACTGCACCTTGAACCTCCCCTCATCCCCATTGTAAATACGCACGTCTATAATGACACAAGAGATTTATCATATTTTCTAAATGCCCGACATGACAATTTGGATCGCCATTTCTTACTAAACAGCGATAGAGTGCAAGCTTCACCTACATTCTACGGCTACAATGACTGAGATGACACTTTAATATGCGCTAACGTAGTCCCCGCCTTAGACACTTCGGGCCAGACAGTAGTTAGACTGTTGTTGTTGACAAACGTTCCCCACAGAAAATTACATAAACCAGCGGTACACTAACTATTCCAGATTACTAATACTTCAGCGCATTTCATGTTTCTATAACTTTAGATACTACCGTGATAATTCTTGGTGGGTCGTAGCTTTTTTGATATATTTTTTACTCTAAGTTAAGTAATAACATCATTGTTAGTCTAACTTATCACTTGTAAGTACGGTGAATGCTAATCACCTAGTAACCTATCACAAATTTAAGAGTTTTCTTGAAAGTGACGCAAACACAACTTTTTGCCGCATACCTCATAAGCCGCTTCGGGAATTCATGCAATTGTTAGTATTTGTATACGGAAATAATGTAATAAAATATTCTGGAGCAAAATTCCTAATTCATAATATTTGCCAAGCTAACTACTAGTGTCGGAAGTCAAAGTGCGTTGGTGTAAATTTATTTTGTTAGAAATATTAATTAAAGCGCTATCAGCTTGGGGCACGCGCCCGATTGTGCTATCTCTTGGCTAATATTTAATCGCAATTGTGATGAATTTTAATATAATAATATTTACAGTACTAATTGAAGACAATCGTAGGATATGTTAAACGTTTTATGGTTAAAGATAGTAACTCGGCTGAGGTGCCCTCTAGAAGGTGAGACATAAATCACAAGACATCATATCGCCGTCGCTACGTCCGTCCGTACATCGAGCGTGAGCAATAATATCGCATAAGATATGGAAGTTTAGAGAATTCAATGTGCGCTCGCGGCCGGTTCTCGCTTTTTGCCAAAATCTCCGCATCGCACATAAATCCTGCGCTGATGTGACAACCTCCCAACGGAGGGGAGGGGGGAGGGAGATGGCTTATTAAAATACTTAAGCGAAATGGCGGAGACAACTCGTGAGAATCGCAGACTAATTAATTGGCTAAATCTGGGCTTCGCGTACCTATGCGCGCTTGTCCTGCATCAACGTTGTAAAACTTATAAATATTATACAAACTTTTACTTGCATGCTTGTACTTGTCTTAGTGCTCTACTACTAAAGGTAAACGTAAAGGTTTTTACCAACTAATAGTTGGTAGTAAATGTTGTGAGTACGAACATGTCGGTCGGATGCCGTTATCGACGGATGTAAATCAGACTCGGTGCTCGTCTGAAGTGTGCCTTACAATTGGAGCATTTCAATTATTTCGATTATTACAGATATTGTATTCAAAACTAAGAAGCTCTTCAACTGAAATAACTGAAAAAAATGCTTGACCTTGCCTGGTTTAATAAAAGTATGGGAGATTTTTTTTAAATGATATCTATTAATTAGACTACATATTTGCAATGAGAGCAGTGATGGCCTAGCGGCTTCAACATGCGACTCTCAACCCTGTAAGACCTCAGGGGTTCGATGCGTGGCTGTGCACCAATGGACATTCTTTCTATGTGCGCATTTAAAATTTGCTCGAACGATGAAGGAAAACATCATGAGGAAACCGGCTAGCCTTAGACCCATAAAGTCAACGGCGGGTGTCAGGCACAGTAGGCCGGTCTCCTACTTGCCTATAAAAAAAATGATCAGGAATCTGAGGCCCAGACCTAAAAAGGTTGTAGTACTTGTTTTTTATTTGCACCGAGAAATGATTTAATAGGATTAGGCATGGCTAATAATAATATGTTACTGTTAATAATAATACCCCGAAGAGGCGAGTCTCGTATTTATTGCTAGATTATTAAGTAATTATGAGGTCCTCTACCTCAATCTGACACACGACAAAATCAAATCTATATACATTATACATTTAATAATTGCCTCATAATGACGTAAATGGTTCACGCGTGCTGCACCTTGCTCATCTTCTTCTTTTGCAAATGTATAACTCTTTGTTTTAAATCTTACAGGGTCATTTATTTCATTAAAAACTGAATTGTTAAATGTGATTATAGTCCAATGGGAGTGACCAATTGATAAGAGGCAGTGTGTCAGTGTGTTGTCAGCTATCGCCCGCCCACGTCTTGTTATGTCACCAACTATTGCTAGGTATTTTTTATTTTTTTTATTTTATAGTGCAATTATGTTTCTCTCAAAATATATTATTATGTATAAGATCGGGAGCCGATCTGATATCTTTAGCATTTTCCAATTTAATAAAACACTATTTTGACCGGATTGAAGTTATGTATTACACGGTCACCGTGACCACGCACGCTGTAAAGCACGCGAAACGTCGGATAAATTTAAAATTATGTTAAATAGTTGTAAATTTATAATAATACATAACTTCAATCCGGTCAAAATAGTGTTTTATTAAATGAATAAAAGTTATGTTAATCAAAGACAATACTATTTTCCAATTTTCGTAAAGCTCTCTTACTTTATTCAAAACTGGTTGAATAGTATTCCATTTTTGCAAACATCTCTCTCTTATCTCAGAGTCCACATTCGACATTATATTATTTGGACGTAGCAAAGTTACTCCGAGTCTTAGCGGTCAGCGGTGATCTCGAGATTAAATTGCGATTGTGATTAGTTTTGAGATCCTCAGTACCGAGTGCAATCACTCGCGAATTAGCCGAGCAACTGCAGATAATTTATCAAATTACGCGGCGATGCATACGCGAAGCAATTTACGAGATTCCCTCGTCTCTGAACCGTTACTCTCCTTCGATCGTTCTCCTGGTCGTTTCTTTCATAGGGATATTTGTGCCGTCTCTTCGTTGGTCGAGCGATGCCCGACGGCATGATCTGGAGATGAAGCGATCGTTCAGAGCGGCCGGCCGGGTCCCGCAGCGAGATAGATTGCACTCCGCCATAATGATAAATATTCAGAGTGGCTCGAATACCCAATAACATACACTTCTTATAGAGCTGTATAACATTTAAAGTAGTTGTAGATAAATTTATGATATACATAATTGTTTGTCAAGACTTTATACTTTGTTAAACATATAAATTTATTGTTAAACAAAACTAGTCGGTAGTTAGACGTCGCATAAAATGATTTCAAGATCCATTATAAGTAAGAGAATTTACTTACTTTTAATGGATTCTAAGATAAATATTGTCTAACCTCCCGCCGAGATAGTTTCACAAGCCTTTATCTCTTGGATCTCCCCGTTCACCATTTTTGGCAAACCCCATTATTTGATAATATCCGAAGCGTGACTCTTGAATAACTTCTTGACTTGTTTCGTAGTCTACATACGAGATACTTAATTTGCTCAATAACTAACTCGACACAAGCCAGACTTAATTAAACCGTTCCGCTCGGAGCTCAAGCCCTCAGCCTCGACCCGGCGATACCTGATTTCTGGTTTTATTTCCCTTGAACTTCGTAATCAGGATCACGATACATTCCAGCCTCATTATTCACCACTATTTTATTTTATTTGTCTACTCTATATTAATAATGTCCGCTCACTATATCTTTAATATATCCCGATCCATATAGACTTAATTTTTTATTTTTTTGACTATACTAAATATCGGTTATAGTGAATTGCGTACGAATACCTCGAAAGCTGAAGATAAGGTATGTCCCGATGTTGTGTTTAACCGTGACTATTGATCGCAACATCGGGATTTATTAATAAACTTAACGTTAAGTATAATGTCATGGCTTATGTTAGATGCTTATAAGGAGGTAAAAGATCGCAACGGGAAATGATTCGCGGATCCCGTAACGCGTCGCGACCAAATCGATCACGTGTCGTTTACCGGTCGTGTCACGTCACGCGTCTGATACGTCGGCTTCACTCAAACGTCTTGATGTTTTTCAAAATAATATATTATTTTAGAAAATGGCACGTCAACTCGCCTCGCTCAAATCCCGCTACGATTTACTCCTACAAATAACGCGTGTCGAACAAAATATCGGTAAATGGTCCACTCGAAACGGCAACAGAAGTCCTCTATGGTACATCTCAACATGACAAGTGCTAGTCACAGATGGTAGAGATATAATAACGTCGGCGGCAGTTGCTATCAATTATTATTTACGAGCGACACTTGTGTCCTGCGCTCGCGCACTCCGCGCAGTGTTGTAAGCAGAGGGGTGACATTGTGTGGCGCTAAACGGTAATGATCCGCTCGTTATCATGTATTCATACATTACATTGTTTGGTTATGGCGCGGGATGCCGCGACAGATGGACAGTTATCATTTTTAATGTTTGAGGACTATTATAATTAAAGAGCCCTGATTTAGGTTATGTTTCAATAAAAATATTAAGAAGATGAAATGCACTACATACTTAGACAATTTAGTATTGACAATACAATATAATAATATTAATTAAAAATGGATTAAATACATTTTAAAATATTGGTACTAATAATATAAGTACCTACTATCTACCAGACGCCGAGTTAATATTTAATTAGCGTCTGTGCACTTGAACCCCACGACCCAAGAGTCTACTCCAAAATAACAAAATCAAAGTAGACTATATTTTAGCCGTTTATTATTTTCCGCCTGCTCTGGGGCCGCGCCAGCTTTTGTGGTTGTCCGAGGAAGGGGAGACGGGGCTAACTGGTCCACACAGGTATCATCCCATACCAAAGCCCGCTCCATCCTCCAAGGGATCGAAGATCCCATCGGGCCGCTTGTCATCGTCTCTAGCTATGCCTATTAGCTCCAAAATGTCTGAAACATTTAAGGCAAGAGAGCGGCGTGGCGAGAAAAACGACCTGAACTGAGCATTGGTTATAGTAAATTACTTACTTACTTACTTCTATTATACTATAATAAGAGATTTAGAATTAGTTTTATTATTACTAGAAGCTTCGCAAATTATGTGAAACTTGCAATTATTAATCCGTAAAGTACGCTCAGTGAAGTCAAAGTGCAGTTCTTAGAGAACGGACCCGGCTGACGTCACGAGCAGCTGGTAAATGACGTCGACGTTGTTGTATTTAAATGAAACAACTGGATTCTATGTATAAGGAGTTACATCAGTTTTTGTGAGGGCCGCTGTAAAGGGGACAAGTTTGCATAGAGCGCCACGCCGTCTGTTCGTTCGCTAATACGAATATGAACATGGGGCAGTCCAGTATTGGGAACTGCAAAGTCTCTTCAATCACCACCATCGTTATCAATCAGCAGTTACGTGTTCGGTACGAGCGAGAGGAAGAATAGGCGATGTCATCGGTATTTGTCAATTCATTACTAATATCCTGTCGAGCACGCCGCGACACAAAACATTAGGAAATTGCTCGATTTACAAAAAGCAGACGGGCAGGTCGCGATCCGGGCTCAATGAGAGGTTCTTGCTCCCGGGTCCCGACTTACGATCTAACCTGTTCCGGACGATTACTATCGTGTACTCACTAATTTAGCTCTGCTAATTTTCCAAAACGCATAGTGTTGAAAAGCTTGTTACGTACAACGGTTATAATAATTTTTAATAAGCAGTTATTTTATACCTAACAAAATAGGCATTTAGTCGATCTTTCTAAAAATGCAATATTTTATTATGTAATAAGTTTAGTGGAAGAAGTGCGACCGCAAGTCGAGCACAGTGCAGAGGGCGTCGGTCCACCTGTGACTTCGGACTCACGTTTTTCAAAAGACCAGTTTTTTTAAACAAACTTTGGAAGTAGCATAATTTGAGACTCGTTTGTTCAATAGATTGTGTAAACATCCCTGCCTCTCCCTCTCTCTCGTCTCTGTCGCCCAGTTGGCGTTTTAGATTTAATTTTTTTTTTAACATCATTTATGTAATGATTAATATTCCCCATATCATATTTCAAACTTAAGATACGTTACTCGGATTTTCAAAAGGGCATGTACACGATGTCCAAACTGAAGAGTTAATGAACAAATAATTGGAACGTTGTATCCACGATTTGGAATATGTCTCAAGTAGCAAATGTAGTATTATGAATGTTTAAAATGTCTTTTGCTTATCATAGCCCCACTGACGACATAAGAGCACGTGGGAAGCTGCTCCGCAACGAATTAAGACATTGATGTATTGCGCCCGCTAACTTGTTATTATGCGAAATTAATTCCTAAAAGCGACTGTCAAAACTGATTTCACCTGTCACTGAGCGCACGCACACACGCGCAAACCGGATCCCATACATTCGATCTGTTTTTGTGATTGAAAGCTTTGATAGTTACACATTATTATTTCCTCTTTTAATTTTCAAGCTACTTAACGAATATTTATACAAGATACGACAATTGGGCTCTGTGCGTTGATACCTATTTAGTAGTCATTTCTAAATCAATGCTAAAATTAATAATTAAATAAAAATATACTATTTGATTTAAAAATCTATTGTTCGGTTCTGTCTTTCAAGCTTATGAACTTTTTTGACTTTAGTTTTTTATTATTTACTTTGTATATCAATGAATAAAAGTTTACATAAGTAGATTTAGAAGTTTTACCTAATTAACACTAAAGACAAAAACAACAAAAAACAATGTTTTATGAACTACAACATGAGCCTATGTTTATGTATAGCCTCTGGTGACCTGTGTGAATCGATTTAGATTTATTTTAGACATAATAGTGACACTTCGCTTTAAATTAAGTTATCTGAATGAGGGTCTGCATTTATCCGAGCTATGAGTAACTAGGTACCATAATATGTTTGTATGTATGTATTCATGTTTCTGAGAATCGTCCGCGAAGTTAGCAGTCCGCGCACGCGCAGCCGTGAGGGCACGCCGAGTGGCCGACACATTCTCGCTAAATCTCAGCGTCTCGTCTTCTACACCATTCAACTAGAGTGTGTTTTTGTATTCATTTAATTATTTTCGTGAGTGGTTTCGGCGGTTGATATCCGAAAGCTCCAAAGAGAAAACAAATAATATAAAACAATAAGTGTTGTACATCACACGGGACATCACACGTTGGTATTGGAGTACACTATTACAGTTTGGAGCTATTTTATTACAATTGAAGTTTCTACCGCACGCTTCCTAACACGAATGAGAGATGGGCAGCGGCTGGAGTCACGAGGCGCCTGGAGCTACGGTCTCAGCTGACACGTGCCAACAACAGGTGAGAGACGCCGTGCTCGATGGAAAAACTAGTAAAGCATGGAAATAATCTAACAATTATACAGCATTTATGAAAACATGTTTAGATAAAGAAAAGGTTGTCAACCATTTCTTGAATTACTTCCGCTAGGACGTTGTCTTTTGTAAATACTATATTGAGTTAAATCTGGAACCGATAAGTGACACCAAAGGGAAATATAGTGGCGGAGGCAGATGTTAGATAAGGGTCGAGACGTCAGGCCTATCTCGTGGATATCGGCTGACGGCGTTCATCTTGTTTTGTTTAATTAAAATCCTCGGAGTGCTAGACCTCGCCTCCTCCCGACCCCCTTCCCCCTCGACTCCTCGACGCTGAGGTATTTTAATTAAATGAGTTCCTCACTACCACACGTTATCAAAAGAGAATCGACAAACACGCACACTTTTACGTTTATCAATAGTTTAAAAAATATAAATAGTGCAATATCGATCAAATATTTTCTTGTATAAGAAATTTAATTAAGATTAATAATAATAAGCTATGCCTGTAGAGGTTATTGTAAATCAGCCCTTGGCTTTATATTTGAAATTGCGATTATAGACTTGTTCATATCTCTTCTATGTTCTTAATGCCTCTGAGGTTATCTCAGTTTGATGGTTTGGAGATCAAATGCGTCTGATTCTTTTATTAATATTCTTGAAAGCGTAACACTATCACTAGGTCAGCCTTCTGTGTCTAATTATTCGAAAAAAGTATATTCCGAAAATCAGTCTTAATGACTCCGGGTTTTACACAATTTTTATATTTTTACCACTGAGCCATGAAGGTAATCCTTCTTAATCCTAAACGGTGAATCTGTTAATTTGGACTGCCTGTTGTTGGATGAATCCAATCCATCCATTCTGAAGAATGTAGCTGGATGAATGGGTCCAACAATAAGTAAAATCTGTGGAAAATGGAAGAATACAAAATAAAAAACGTGACTTTTAACAGGTCAATGTATATAATGTCGGTCAAATGAATAAAGATTAAGGATATGAGAGCGCGGGCCGGGCTTCAGTCAGTACAATAGACCGCGGGAGCGGTGCTCTCTACCACTTACTCGCTTACGTTTTGTAAATGAAAAGAATGATTAGACACGACTGAAGTAGTAGACAGAATCAAAGGGCCACCAAATGTAGTTTTGCTAATTTATATTTGGAAGATATTTTGCTTTTGCCAGATCAGCCCGATCATGATCCCACCACACGTGGCGAAAGGTGTCGGTATTGCACTGTGAGCGCGAGGACCGGACCGTTCGGGAGGGTGTAAGGCGGGTGGGCGGGGCGGGCGGATCGCCGTGTGACTTGCGAGAGCGCTCAGTGGCTCTCCGGGCCCCGCGGCGAAACGACGTGTGCTAGTGCCCGAGTGATTTTAGTGCCCGAACGAGTGCAGTGCCCGTGTGCAGTCAGTGCAGTGCCAGTGCTATGCGCGCGCGGTCCCGGCGCCGGCGCCCCGCGCCCCGCTCGCCCCGTTGACCCGATGAGCCCGCGCACTCCGCGGCGCTCGCCGCTGCTGCTCGCCCTCGCCCTCGCCACCACGCTGCAAGTAGGTGTTCATCATCCTCTTACACCGAACGAACGTCTTCCTCAAAGAACGACGATAATATGATTTTTTGCGAAATAGGATTAGGAACAGGTTGAAGTAACAAAAGTGAGAGAAGAGATTTCTAAATAAAAGAACGCCTCAGTCTCGTCTTTTTCCTGATTGTAACTGATTACTATAACGGGTTACTGTATCATTTGTGTGTTACATTTAGATATTTGTTGTATGGGACATACAAATACATATTGTGTTAATTAATAATTATGTATATGTTAAAAAAGTTCTGTTTTGTTCAATAATCGGATGTTTCCAAGAAAGAAGTCTCTTATTTATGAAACACATAAAACTTGTTTACGACGAACATATTATTACATATAATAATTTAAGATAAACAAAACTTGATCTAAACAATTCAAAGAGTGTACAATTTAGAATTAGGTGAATAGTCCGTGACCGTTAGATCAAGAAACTTAATAAGCAGAATAAAACGTTAACAAATAGAATTATAATAGTATTTAGCATTGTTAAACATAATTTACTTTTGACATAAATAATATATATAATATAAGTTTAAATACAAACAACTAAAACATGGACAGAGCCGTTTTCAAAATTAGCATGACAATTCATATACATAATACAATATATACTTATCGTAATATTAATGATTTTTAAAGTGAGCGCGTTATCTGCTAAGCCCCAGAGGCAGTGTATATAATATTATATTGAACATTATTCATGAATATCTTGAAAAGTAATAGACGCAGCGTTATTTTATTGTGCTCTACTGTGTGATTTGCTTCGCTTGAGAAAAGGGCTAATTAACTTCAGTTATTTAATTATTTATTTTAACAGACATTTGCCAAGTTTACTTCTATTGTAGATGCTGAGGCGTGTGAATCATTCAAAAGGTACATACCTATTCCTTTTATCAATTTACAATAGCTCTCGCTCTCGAATCTCCGCATTACGGCTCCCGGACGGCCGAGACACGACTTTACATAACAATTATTATGATCCTCGTAGGCTCAGTAAATGATTTGAGTTAGGAGTTTGTAATGCTCGTACGTCGTTCTTTGAGAATTCAAAGTGATTTTAAAATTGCACGCTAAGAACTGGTTTGATTAATTATGCATGGATAAATGAGGAAGAGCCCGAAGTCCGAACACGTAGTGGACGTTCTCTTCAGTCGTTGACCTGACGAAATACTGCCTAATAGTGGTACTGTTATGCGTGAGGTTGGACAGGAGGAAGTATTACAATAGATATTACATATTTTTATGAAACGTACAATTTGTAGCTTACTTAAGTATTAGGCCGAGGGAACAGTAGTGTTTGTATGTTACGTTATTTGTTACACCCTCTGATTTTTAATGATATTTTAATGCCTTCATGTGCAATTTGTACCACACTGACTTTACACAGACTTTAATACACTTTTCAGCCCACCACTTCAATACCATACACAAAAGAGCGCGAAAATAGGATATTATAAGCATTAAGAGCGGAACTTGGCGCGGGCGGAAATTAGTTGTAGATAACTTCGTCATACATATTAGGTATATTTTTGTGTATGTTATGATAACATAAAACATATCGTATTATTAAATTATCTAGTATTCGATTTCGCTTCCATAATTGTGTTTAGTAAGGTGCCTAAATGATACTAAACCAGAGAGTTAAGCGTCGGTCGAGTTAGCGGAAATATTGGAATAATTGTGGTCTGTTTGAGGAGTGATGCAGTGGAGAGTCACTCTGTTTTGGTCTGAGAATGCCGAGATAATGTCGCTGTTCCGGCGCAGCATCCGCCGCTTGGGAACCACACGCTCACACTTTCCTACACCTTCAACACTAAAAGTCATCATTAATAAGTTTAAATAGATATTTATCGTGTATCAGTTAGCTAAGGCATGTTTATCTTTATTTTAAGGATCCCTTTGAATCGATAAGGACATCTATTCAACATACTTAGCTACTTTATATAACTTTTAACCAAAGCTTTCTAGCATGAATATACGTTCCATGGTATCTCTTATTAGAATATTTATAAAATTTACGTTTACTAAAACTTGTAGTCGCAATCATCAATAGATAGCAATAATTGGCGTTTTAACATAAAATACCTAATACACGATAATAAATTTATTGAAAATTAAAAAGGAAAGTTAATCAGGCTTGGCTCGTTGGGTTGACTTTATACGTTAGGTGCTGTATATAAATGTATGAGTTAATCTAATCTCGAACTCCAAACGATAATATTTATATTAACTTACTTTGTCCCAATAATCATGTAAAACCAAGTGTTTATGATCATTTCATTCATTTTCACTACCTCTTTTATTTTAAATACATATCATTATATATAGTCCATTTTAATAAAATGATACATCCATTTATGTGTTATACATTCACATCTATACAATAATTATTGTAGGTATAATTGAAGGTACAATGCTTTAAAGTTCTGTTTTTGTAATAAATAGAAAAAAAAAAATCAATTGAACTTAGACACTAATTTAAACTTGTTTTTTATATATTTTGCCTGAAATATCATATTTTCCTACTTTCACAATTTAATGTTTTTTTTCGACGTCTTTATTCCATAATAAGAAAAGTTTCCTGGAGGTTTTTCATCTTACCTAGTAGTAACGGAAGTAGTTTAGGTAAGCCTTATTTTCTCTCATTATTTTTTTAATCTCGTCCGGATTATTCTTTACTACCTGGAGAACATAAACTGTTCAACTTTCTTTTATTTCTGGATTATAAACGTATCCACTCCGTTGCTCTTTCTCTTACTCATTAGTATAATAAACGCTTAAGAGGCCACGGAGATATGAGGACTTCATTATTCCTTATTATAGTTTTTTCTGGCGTTTTTTGTGCTTTTTACATTTATAGATCGCGATGCCGAGTTTCTATTTTCCGTTGGATAAATTTCAGAATAATTTCTACTTTTTATTTATCAATGGACATCCTTTTTTTTTCAAAAAACACAATCTTATCCTAACGGGTGACCCTAGTTATCAACAAGAATGCATATCCAATAAATAATTCACACACGAAATAAAAAAAAATAGGGAAATAATAAACTCAACTAATGATTATAGGCGCTAACAAATAACAGAACTCTTTTAAAGAAAAAACTGTTTGACCGGATTGAAGTTATGTATTATTATAAATTTACAACTATTTAACATAATTTTAAATTTATCCGACGTTTCGCGTGCTTTACAGCGTGCGTGGTCACGGTGACTGAACAGAACTCTTGCTATTTCACTCAATAGACAATAAAAATCCTATGTAGTTCGTTGAGTACATATTATAATACAGCGAAAAATATGTGCCCTTTTTAGAAGGTTCGACCTAGCTGTTGGCACATGTAGTAACGGCTGACGATGTCGCCTTCTGACGTACCATCAGCCACATTGAGGCTAAGGCACTAGTTCTGCCGAATTGCTGACGTGGCCATGTAACTATTTTATGAAGTTCATCGCAAGCGTGATTTCTCGCCGTACCTACTCTGAGCTCATTGTAGACCACGAACCAAGAATAAATAAGATCCGATACATGAATGGGTTGTTTTGTACCCTTTCCAACACCTTATACATAGTTTCATAGTTTTGTTTCGTGCTTTTTTTTCAACCTTCTAAATAATATGTTTATTTGTGAATCCATGATGTAAATATTGCAAGTATTTTATTTTTTATATAATGTAATGCTTTAGCTGTGTAGATACAACGTATGCAACATTTGAGTTGTTGTTGCCACCAACGAAATATTTTGATGCTTTAAAACGTTAGCTGAGCAGACTAGTACACATATTTGGCACATCGGCACTTCGCGAAGTTGAAAAATAATATCAGATATTATGTTATTAATGGTCGTCCCATAAAACGAAATTGGTATTAATTTATAAATTAATCAAACACTTTTATATCGCAGTGCGCGGCGGGGGCGGGCGTGTTCGAGCTGCAGGTTCTGGAGTTCTCCAACTACCGGCTGCAGCTTGCGTCGGGTCGCTGCTGTGGCGGAAGTGAGCCCGCGACCGTCACCTCTCCGACGGTTTCCACACCTTCTGCAACCTGCGCACGTCCGTGTCGCACGCGGTTTGCCCTGTGCCTTAAGGAATACCAGTCGGCGGCGGCGCCTGGCGCCTGCTCATTTGGCCGAGCGGCTTCCCCAGTCCTCGGCACAGACTCGTTCACGCTCGCCGACCCGCTATACACGCTCGCGTTGCCTTTTTCGTTCCGTTGGACGCGCTCCTTCACGCTCATTCTGCAGGCCTACGACGATTACGACTACGTGGGCGGCGTCGACGGAGAGAGTGGGCTTATCGAGCAAGCGTGGTGGTCTGGGATCGTGGAGCCGGGCGCCGAATGGCACGCTCTGAGACACGCCGGGTCCGCTGCCGCGTTGGCCTACCGCGTGCGAGTCCTGTGCCAGCCCAACTACTACAACACCACCTGCACCAGCTTCTGCCGCCCGCGTGATGACAAGTTCGGCCACTACTCTTGCTCGCCGCAGGGCGACAAGCGGTGCCTGCCTGGCTGGCAGGGTGATAACTGCGAGAAACCAGTGTGCAAAGAAGGCTGCCATCCGGCGCATGGCCGTTGCGATCGTCCTGGGGAATGTTTGTAAGTTTTATCGTCGTTACTAATCAAGTTTGAAGCATTAGAAAAAACATTTATTTTCTTTACAATTATTTACATTAATTCAATTAATTTTAACGTTTGTTAATAGGCGTTACAACTTCCCTTGCATCCTCAACCCTTCCCATACATCACTTTGCCTAACCAAAGACATTCACAGCCCGCCAAAGGTTTTGGCTGAATATATCCATATTTCACTTAATCTATACCTATATATAAATCTGTCATGCAAATAAAACAGTTCCTAACATTTGTCAATATCATCGTATTCTAATAATCAAAATGTTATTCGTCAGTGTACAAATAAGTATGAATAACATTTAGTGTATAAATTTCTGGAATGAACCTTACTGACTGCTGAGCGTGACCGCAGGTGTCGACCGGGCTGGCGCGGCGAACTGTGCGCGCAATGTCAGCCTTACCCGGGCTGCAAGCACGGCTACTGCAACGGCTCCTCCTGGGATTGTACTTGTGACACCAATTGGGGTGGCATCCTCTGCGATCAAGACCTCAACTATTGCGGCACGCACGAGCCTTGCCAGCACGGAGGCACATGTGAGAACACGGCGCCCGACCAGTATTTATGCACGTGCGCCGAAGGCTTCTCGGGCGCCGACTGCGAACGAGTCGACAACCCTTGCGCCCCACAGCCTTGTGCGCATGGTACGTGTGAGCTGAGCGCCGCCTCCACCGGGTTTACATGCGTCTGCGAGCGTGGCTGGACAGGCACACGTTGCGACCTGGATGCCGACGACTGCGCCTCGATGCCCTGTCTCAACGGTGCGCTCTGCCACGACCGTCTCGACGCCTTCCAGTGTGACTGTGCAGCAGGGTGGCGCGGTCTCACCTGCACCGAGGACGTAGACGAGTGCGCCGAAGTACAAGTTGGACCCGAGGGTTCTTTGGGACCGTGTGTCAACGCGGCCGCTTGCAACAACACGGCAGGCGGCTACTCGTGCACCTGTCTCGCCGGTTGGACGGGCCGCGACTGCGAGCACAACGTGGACGACTGCACGGGTCAGTGTCTCAACGGCGCTACATGCATTGACCTCGTGGATGACTTTCATTGTGCGTGCGCAGCCGGTTGGGCGGGACGCACTTGCGCGGAAGACGTCGATGACTGCGCGCCGCGACCTTGCCGTAACGGCGGAGAATGCGTGGATCTTCTCGATGCTTATCGCTGCATCTGTCCCGTTGGATTCTCGGGCGTGGACTGCGAGGTTAGCGGCTTGGGATCCTCATATTTTGACCATTCCACTCTAACTTAACTTTCGCTCACTATGACTAACATTTTATTAGATAAATAACTAATGATATAACCCGCTTAATTCGACTTAAAATTTCTCTACAGCCGCAACTAATACACTAAACGATCTCTGCTTCTAGCTCGCTTCCTGTTCGGGACGGTTTTGTCCGGTGAGTGGTTATCCTATACTGAAAATGTAGTGCCGTAGTTGTATCGTTGCAATCGTGTATGTCTGTAGGACGATCGCGACCACTGCGCCGGCGCCCCTTGTGCTAACGGCGCCACCTGCTACACGGCTCAGAGTGACTACTATTGTCACTGTGCGCCCGGCTGGACCGGAAAGAACTGTACGCTGCGCGTCGTGCCGCCTCTGTTGCTAAAAGAACCAAACGAGTGCGTTCCGAATCCCTGCCTAAACAATGGAAGTTGCTCGAGCGTCTCCGGAGGCTTTTCGTGTGTCTGTCGTGATGGATGGACCGGTAAGAACCAGACTTGAATTTTTAATATTTTAATACAACACTAGACCAATAAGTATATACAACCATTGCCTCAGCCACTAAGCCGTTAACCTGTCTGACTCCTGCAGGTGAAACGTGTACGAAGACGGTGGAAGCGGTTTGTTCCCCACCTTGTGCCAACGGCGGTTCCTGTGCTCTGCTACCTGCGCCGCTGAATGAGACGCCCCGCGCTCGCTGCGTCTGTGCCCCCGGCTGGGCCGGGCCTGCTTGTGATCTGCCCCTCGCTCCTCAGGTAAATAATGATATTTAATGTCATTGATATGAGTGTACGATTTACGTAAGTACGTAAAAATAAAATATGTTTATTATGGAATATAAGATACAGGTATTACTTATTCCACGTGATTAAATTAAATTATTTATTTAAACGTAATTATTTATGTATTCAATATAGGTCAGCCTACAGATGTGCACCCTAACTTACTTTCTTCAATACTCATGTTAACTTACGGGGTCGCTGACTCGCTTTAATAGCCTCCTTGGCCAGGATACGTCGGTATGTACCCAGGCATTGCACGATGTAGCCCGTCCCGGAGACTTCGGAAAGTCTGTTGTGCTCTCGACATACTCTAACAATCGAAACTGTGTTAATAACATACGTAAATTAAAATGCGATGCATTTCGATACAAGAGGCAATTGATTCAGAAGAAACATACCGTATATTTTATACACAAATCATAGATATTCGGATTTGACAGGTCGTTCCTGCCGCTGGCCCTTGTCCGTGCCTACACGGCGGCTCGTGCGTGGCGGTCGGCGGCGCCTGGGCCTGCGCCTGTCGCAGCGGCTGGGGTGGCGCACGCTGTGAGATCCCCGCCGACGCGTGCGTCTCCGCACCTTGCCGCAACGGAGCGCGTTGCGTCGGCGGAGCCGGCTGGTGGGCGTGCGAGTGCCTGCCGGGTTGGGCCGGTCCCGACTGTGGCGCTCCCGCCTGTCAACCGACTTGCCCGCCGCCCTCGCTGTGCGCACCCGCCGCCAGCGCGGCACGCTGCCTCTGCCCCGCCAGGCCGTCGCACGTCGCCCGACGGTGTTTGGAACGTGAGTCGAAGCGATGCCGACGAAACCCGGCTCCTAAACGCGGCGTTTTAAACAGTGATATTTGTTTTTCAGTGATCGCCGGTCTGGGAGAAGAGAGTGAGACGAGAGAAGCCATCGGAATCGATGAAGCTGAGCCGGTGGCGGGAAACGCGGCGAGTGAAGGGCCCGGTGCGTGCGGTGCCGAGAACGGCACGTGGTGGTGGGGCTGCAATGCATGCCGATGTGCGCGTGGTGAAGCGGTATGCACGCGCCTCTGGTGCGGTCTGGCCGATTGCCTGGCACCGGGTGCACTGGCGTGTCGCACTGACGAAGTCTGCGTCCCGGCCGCGCCCTCACTCTGCCTGCGGCCGCCTTGCGCCCCGCTGGGTGAGTGTCGGCGCGTGGCGGGTCGACGTGTGGAGCCGCCGGCGTTGCCTGCCCCGGCTGCATGCTGGCCTGGCGCGCGGGCGCCGCCTCCGCCAGGGTGCGCGAGAGCGGAGTTGCGGCTCGCTCGAGAACGGCTGGCGCCGGGCGCTCACGTGGAGCGGGCCTGCGGGGCCCTGCGGCGGGCACTAGCAGCTGCCCTAACCGATCGTTCGACACCCGCTCCTCCCCTTACTCTTCTTTGCGATCTCGCAGCCGACGACGACGATGCTCTCGATTTGGCACTTGTGAGTATGACTTCATTTATGATTTCGTGTGAGATAAATGTGTTCACACTTTTTATTTATTTTTATTAGTTAAGTACTAGGTAAAGCTTTAGTTCATTGGCATTTTAAACAAAAAAGAAAAGAGACATTGGTTTTGATTAAATTACCCACTAATCGTAGTCGGTGGGCTCGAATAAATGGTTCTTACCACTAATACCAGTGTAAATGAATTGATGAAATATCAATTATTTATTTATTTTATTTTGATTAATTAATTTCAGTGGGCGGGTGAAGACGATGGCCGGCAGCCGCCTACCGAAGACGAGACGAGTACACTCGCGAGTGCCGTCAAGGCGCTGAGTGAATTGGTAGCGCGGCGCCGCCTCAACCATCACGCGCTGCTCGGTGCCGCTCTTCGCCTGCGCCTGTCGGCCGCCACGCCACCTCCCGCCTCTCCCGCCGCGCCGGCAGCGGTGCCGCAGCCGGCATCCGGTCCTGCTCTGCTCGTCCTGGCCGCCACCGTTCCGCTGCTACTCCTCGGTGCCGCCGCGGCGACCGCGGTGCTGGTTAAGCGTCGAAGGATCGTCGCCGCCGCCGAAGAACGCACGCGACGCCACGATGAAGAGAAATCGAACAACTTGCAAAACGAAGAGAACCTCCGGCGCTACGCGAATCCTCTGGGCGGTCGAGGCGAGGCGGAGGCTTTGCCGCGCGCGCACTCGTTGTACAAGGCGCAGAACGCCGACGTACGAAACAACGCTCCGACGCGCGAGAAGGAGCTCACGAAGCGATCCCTTCCGCCTCCCGATCCGCCGCCCGCCGCGAGGCATCCGCCCCCCGAAAGACTCACAGTGCTCGTCTGAGCGACTCCGTTTAAGAATTGGCACCTGAAATACTTTGTTCTTTACCTCGGAACGCATTCGACTCGGTCGACGACGAGTCAATATTCATTTAGTTTTTTGATGTTGATGTTAGATTTTGTGATATTTGTAAGTACCTCCAGATGTACCTACGTCGAGTGTCCCGCTCGAGGGCAGATTGTGACGGAATGTTGAGTCGAGACAGTATCGGGGAAAGGACGTGTAAGGGTGTAAAGTATTTATTGAAGCTGTGTGATCGTTTTTGTAAATATTATGTATTTTTGTAAATAATGTTAAATAGGTTAAGAATCTGAGAGTACTTTAATGAATTTTTAAAAAAATTCTATGAAATTTCTGCTGTAATATTTTTGTAAAAAAAGGTTGTATAATTGTGAATGATCCAGCGAGAATGTTGTAATAAAAGATTGAAATATTTGCAATGTCTTCTAACTCACAACTCTTTCTTCGGGAATGCAAGCTGAGCGATTGAGTAAAAAGATCTTCAGTAGGTTTTAAGGAAAAACAAATCCTTTTCTCTGCGCTTTTTAACTTATGCTACTTGTTGCAGGGTCATAATAATACCTAGATGATTTAGTGTAATAGTGTTTATTACAAAGACCTGTTGGACTATAACGAATTGAAGAATATAACGTAATAGAAAATTTACAACAAGAGCCAATTAAATTAGACCAAAATCTTACCGGGAACAACTTATTTTATGGGTGTGTACAGTCAATGGCAATCTATTTAATCACCTTCCCACAGATTACAGAGCAGTAACCGTGTAATGCTTTCGAGGGCAAGGGGATTTTGAAGGCACGGTGCTCATATAATATGAGGGAATTATTAGATTATATGTTTTGAGATAGTAACATAGAATATTACATATAAAATAATTTAATTTGTTTTAATTACAATAAGACTTTTTCTAAGGAATTTTTCGAATTTGATATGGCTGATTGAGCGGTTTTTTTTTTAATTCATCCATCATAATGTACCACTTTCTAGGCAAAAAAAAAGCATTAATTATTTATTTATAAAAGGGATGCATCCGATACCGATACCGATACCGATATATCGGCGATACTTTGGGTTTGCCGATATATCGGCATGCGCGATATTTTCATTGCCGATTCACCGATACTTTTCAAATTTCACGCTTTAAAAAAAAAATGTAAACGCGCATTTTGTATAATCTAGTTTGTTGCAAACGAGCCACGGACTATTATTGCCCGAGAAATCCCCGCGTTTTATTCAGTTTGTTGTCTCTATCATTCGCTTGGGGACAAAGCATTATTATTTATGTATATGTATTTCATTTCGCTAATCACTATTTATTAACACTTTGTTGCATTACAATATAAAAATTCAACATAATTAAATGAAAAGGAGGGCAAAAATACATATTACATATAAACTAAAAAAAGTCTACATGAAAAATAAAAAGTGCACATGAATCACGATAATTTTCGATCAGTCTCACGTCAGTTAGTAGTTAGTACGAAAAACTCTTGTTGGATTGATTAGTAGACCAAAATTTTTACTCGAGTCAACTATCTTTGCCAGCGCATAGTTATTAGATATTATGGCTTGCGGGAGATCATTGAGACTTTAATAAACGTAGATTTGAAGATCATTTAGTTGACTTTTAACTGCTATCGCGAGTAGTATTTTTTCGATGCCAAATTTAATAAAATACAGAATTACAACAATGTTATCATTGTTAATTTTAATTATGAACAGTTATTTATTTTATTTTAATTTAATTATTACTCCTAATTCTTAATTTTAGTAACAAAACTTTTAAAATTATTCAAAGTTTGTGACTATTTTTTGTATATATATTTTTTTAATAAAAATTATAAACTTTAACTTAACTTGATATATTTTACCTTAATTTAATTTTAATTCAATAAGCGTTAGTATCGGTATCGACGATATTCCTATAAGTGTATCGGCATCGGTATGGTATCGGCAAAAAGGCGTATCGATGCATCCCTAATTTATAATAAAGTTTATAGTAAAGCAAGTAAAAAACTTTCCTCGGTGATTTCGTGATTTATAAGTGAGTTAAACAACATAATACCCTAAAATCTCGAACATTTATAAAATAATATTAATAAATATATCATATTTGAAGAAAAAAATATAATATTATATATATATAAGTATAATATCTATAAGTATTAGGCTGGGCTATCTCTATCTATAAGTGGGCCATAGACGGACCGCATGTTGCAGCCGATACCGACTGCTCCAAGCCAATCAAAAGGTTAACTGAGGATAATTAATATATTATATAAGCAGAGCTAATTACGAGGCAGAAAGAAAATGATCAAAAAGAAGCTTTTTGAATAAATGTAAGGACTGAGCTCGTCTAATATCAATTGGTAGGGAATTCCATAGCAGGATACTTTGCACAGTAAAGGAGGAGTGATTATATTTATGCAATTCTAAAACTTTAGATTTCCGTGACTTAGAGGGAGGGAAAAAGGAAGATATGTTAGGAATTTAATGAATTTAATTGTCATTAAAATATTAAAAATGTCGAAAATTAATACAAATAATAAATTTAATTTTTTAAACTTATTTCTTCCATAATAAAGTTAGTCATAGTGTTTTATTGAAAAAGTTGGATTACTTATATGGTATTGGAGGGGGGTTATTAAAATGGTTTGCGTCATATTTGACTGATAGAACTCAGTTTGTGGCAGTTGGTGGTATAGAATCGCAATCGTACATTTCCACATCAGGTGTTCCACAAGGTTCTCATCTTGGTCCTGTCCTATTTACTCTTTTTGTAAATGATATTGGTTCGTTTGTTAAATATAGTAATTTTTCTTTGTATGCGGATGATATGAAAATTTTTAAAGTAATTAATAGCGCTCAAGATGTGGAGTTATTGCAAAGTGACGTAGTGGGTATACAGAGGTGGTGCGTGGGTATACAAAAAATGTTCGCAAATTACTTTCTCTAAAAAGAAACTACCAGTCCCCTCTAAATACACTATCGACGGAGTACTACTACTGCAGGTCAATGAAATTAGGGATTTAGGAGTAATACTAGATAGTAATTTATCGTTCATACCACATTACAATGCAATAGTCAATAAAGCTTCTAGAATGTTAGGTTTCATAAGGCGGTCGACTAAGTGTTTTAAGAATGTGAAGCCTAAAATCATACTTTACAATTCTCTGGTCCGTAGCATTTTGGAATATGGTAGTGTTGTTTGGAACCCTCAATATTCTGTCCATGTTGACAGAATCGAACGAATTAACCGCCATTTCTCCAAACGCATATAAGTAATCTATGCCGATTAAATAATAACATTAGCTATAAACGCGAGTATGAAAAAAGACTAGCTTTCTTTCACTTGCAATCACTCCGCGATAGACGCCGCCTTATCGACATTATATTTGTTTAAAAAAATTTAAATAACTTGGTAGATTTACCTAATGTTTTAAGTCAAGTTAACTTCCTCTTAAAGAGGAATACAAGAAAAACTTCAATCCTTTTTTACGTTCGGGCAGTGAGGACCAGCTTCGGTTGTAAATTGTAATGCTCCTCTACACAGATCTCTATCGACATTAAACGACGCTCTGAGTACATGCCAAGCAGATCCATTTAGTGACAGTCTCCATGTCTTCAGGCGTAAGATGCTGCAGCCAATGTTGATCTGTGACCAATAGGTATAATTGCAAAGTTGAAAATTATTGTTTTTTTTTATGTATTTGTAAATTGCATGTTTGTATTTTTTTTTTAATCTAGTTTGTTTTTTACTTTTAATGTTGAAGTTATTTTCTCTTCATCATTGTAATGTTTCCATTTAAATGTTGTGCACACTTGTTATTGATGCACATGCATGTATCTTGTTTTCTATGTTATGTGTTCTCTGTAAGTGTTTGTATGTGTTTCGTTAGTGTGCCTTTTGAAATAAATAAAAATAAAATAATAAAAACACGTAGCATTTTAATTTACAATTCGTCATTTGATATTAGGTTGAATAAATTATTTTGCATGAAATATAAAATACTAATATTTCGTAAATTCTCTTTACGAAATTTTAATTTAAAAAAAGAATTTCTGTAAGGTAATTCACCCTTCTCATGCTCTCTCAATCGGTCGCTCCCTTTTCTTCCACAAAAACGCTGCACATCCCAATTTTACCCTCATGCGCCTAAAAAAGTTTCACTTCAAAAGAACTTTGTCGTTTTGTTATGGCGGAGATCGGAACTCCGAACGGTTATCACAAAACAAGGACGCTTCCAAAGGCGCGCCTTGTCCGCTGCTGCTGCGGTTGCATGAAAACAACGCCAACATCAGGGATACAGCAGGAGGCGGCACTAGCTGCCGTCAGACTTATGAAACTTAGATCTATGGGGAAAAAACCACTATAGTATACTACAGGGCGACATAGTATCAACCACTCATAGCCTCGCCACGTGATAGGATCGCTAATCAACACATTTTCAACAGGAAGTATCATGGTACAAATGAGAAATAAAATAAAATAAAATAAAATAAAATATGTTTATTATGGAACATAAGATACATGTATCACTTATTCCACGTCATTAAATTTGAAGGCATCCCTACTCATCGGCAAAGAAGACAGAGGGTGTAGGCCGAGAGAAAAAGCCGGCGTAAAAAACTCTCGGTACTCTTTTAAAACAGCAAATCATCAAACAACACTTATTTAAAACAAATATCGCAAATTGATTAGAAGTAGCCTGTCTAGCACTAGTCCCAGGCCCTTTTATCAACTAGATAATCGTTGACTTTATAGTAAGCCTTTTTACACAGCTTTTCTTTAATACATTTCTTAAATTTATTGAAAGGCAGTGATAAAAGAGCCTCTGGGATTTTATTAAAGAAGAGTATCCCTTTCCCCAAAAAAGAATTACTAACTTTAGATAGTCTAGTACGGGGAAATTGCAGCCTGCGTTTGTTCCGTGTATTAACATTGTGCGTATGTTCTATTCTAGTAAACTTATCACTATTTT